GGCGGGCAGCGTGTCGGACCTGATCGTGAAGGACCCAAGCAGCACACCCTTGCAGCCGCCGGACACCGCCGCAGCGTCGCAGCGAATGACAATCGTCTCGTCGGCAGCAATGAAGTAACCGTGGTGCACAGGCACAGCCAGCTCCAGGACGGTGGACGGATTCGTCGCGTTGCGCACCCACGTCGCGTTGCGCAGCATCGCTCCCCACGGACCGCCAAACCCGCTCGGCTGCGCCGTTGAAACCAGCACAAGGCTCAGGTGCGTGCCGAGCTGCGGGTCGCGTGCCCATCGAAACGGCGGCGGCAGCGCCACCATCAGCAGCGTTGGAACGGCGCTCCCACCGCCGCGAATGTCGTTCTGCGTCAGGCTCCCGCCAGCCGTCGTCGTCGTCACGGCGAGCGTCGGGCACGCCACGTCGCTCCACCACAGCGTGCTACTCACCGACGCCGTTGGACTCCGCGTGGGCAGCAGTGCCACCGTCTCCGTCACCTGCAGTGTCTCCGTCGGCCCGTGCTGCGTCGGACTGTAGTGCGCCGTGCTCAGGATCGGCGTCCACGTCGGCTTCACGCTGCGCGTCTCCGTCAGCGTCACCGTGTGGCTCAGCAGCGGCATGCCGGGTGTGCGGTTGCACCCGTCCACGTGCGGCAGGTAAACCGGCAGGCAGTCGCGCCCGTACCCGCCCTCAGCGCAGCGGCAGCGGCACGACCCCGACATCGCCCTCGTCGCTGCTGCAAAGCAGTGCACGTCGGCGTCGCACATGCCACACGCCACAGGACGGAATTCCCCGATAATGCCGGCAGACCTGTAGTCCATCGGCTCCAGCGCCTGCCCGTTGAGCGCCAGGCACCCCACGACGAACCTTCGACTGGCGCCCCCAAGCGCAACGGTGCCGTCCATCACGACGGCCCCGCTGCCGGCGTTCCCGTGGAGCGTCAGCGTGCTCTGCACAAGGTCCGCACTGCGCGGGTACGACGGCACCGACAGGAGCCTGCCGCTGATGCTGTTGCCGCGCACCGACAGCCACGACCCGGACACAAACGACGCCGACCCACGCAGCACCAGCAGCGCGCCACCGGTCAGCGCACCGGCGTTGTCGTTCACCACGACGGCGGACGCGTTGGCCCTCATCCCGCCGTCAAACACCAATCCATGCGCGGCGTACACCTGGCTCCCGACACGCGCAGCAAGCGCCCCCCGACGCAACACGCGCGCACTCGCGTACACGCATAGT